TACATGCAGCAGATCCTCCTATGAACTTAATAAAGGTTATATCTGGAGCTCATATAAATAGTTTGCATAGAGATCTTTGGAGATCTATCGCCTAACAACATTAGAGACTGGTTAATATACAATGGGACTATTTGACAAAAAAGGGAGCAGGGAAAATTCTGGATCCATGGCTTTTATTGTATTAAAACAATATTTATTGACAGTTTTGATACTGCTACTTTCACATGCATATTTATACGCTAAGGGGAAACTTTCAAGTTATTTTTATTTATGTTGATAATAAAATGTGTTTTATGGTCAAATGTGGTGCGCAAGCTTATTGACCTAAATTTGATAAAAATGTATCTAAAGGTGTTAAGCCACAAGTAGGGAGGACATGCCATGAGTATAGAACACATTTATAAGATATTGAAGTGTCAAACGTCTGCCCCTCCATCCATTTTTATAAAATGTAAGGTCAGGGCCCTGACATTTCCAGGTACAAGACTGCTCAGAGGCAATCTGTATTCTGTACTTCATATTGAGCAATGATTGCCCTATCATGTTTCCTAGTAGCGCAGCGGGTGAACATAGTCTCTGCCAATAAATGGACCTTGCTGTTCACACCCTCATGAATCTTTATATCTAAAAAGATGACGGCAATGTTATGCAGTCATGTAAAAAGTTGACTATAGCAGGATTCTATATTAGGCTTAATTAACAAAGCTAACAACACCAGGATAAAGATTCTTATTTTATATTAAAGTGAAGCTAAAGATATTTTTAGATGCAAAAATAATCCTCACACAGCTGAAAATGCAGATCGTTATCTTTATAATAAAACTTTGTGAATTGAGCTTAATAGGTTTAGCTTGGCTTTGAAAAATGGATACATGCTGCACATTTGATTTCAATTTTCTATGGTTTGTTAGCCCATGTCTTCCTTTATGCACATTAACATCCTAAAGGGAAACTATTTTATTTTATATTAGTGAGTGTCATAACACTGCAACAGAAATCGTTACTCCCCAGGTCCCACAAGTTGCTGGACAGTGGCGGAGCTAAGGAACAAAGGGCCCTGGTGCAAGATTTTTTTTTTGGCCCCCCAGCTGGGTACCGATCCAGCGCTGGGACTGTGCTGCGCCCCCTAAAGGCCCGAGGCCCTGGTGCGTCCGCACCGCCTGCACCGGCGGTAGTTCCGCCACTGTTGCTGGATGACCTGAATGAGTTGTGTGATTAGTGCAGAAGCAACAAATGCTCATGTAACCCATGAAAATGTTCATGTGTTAATTCATGTGTTTTTGTGGATGGAGTCACTTTGCAATAAGGTAGCCCATTAATTATAAATGGGTTTTTAATGTGCCTCAACCTACACATATGTTCTCTGTGGTGTGCTATAAAACAGAAGTGTTTTTTAACTGTGTGTGTATGTTGGGGTGCAACTTATGGGGTGATGGGCATTGTGGCAGTGTGTACTTCTGCACTGAATGCAGCCTTAATGTTTTGTTAACAATTTAAGCAGATTGCTATGCATCCAAGAAAAAAACAATGTAGCATTGGAAGGTGAAGAAATGTGTTATTGTAAGGTGTAAAAGGTGTAAGGTGCGGAAGTGAGACATGTCTAAAACAAAGAAAATGCTCCGGGACTCAAGGGAAGTATAGCGAGGCAAGGACTGTGGGGTTTACTTTAGGTGGTTAAAAAAAGAGGGAATGGATGTTACAGATATTAGAATAAAAAAGCACATAACAGTAATTCACACACATAGTCACAAGTTACAATTTAAATGTACAGTATAGTCACTTATGGAAATAAGAAACTTCAATTTTCTTCTTATTCCTCATGCAGAGTTTATTTTCTATTAGTTTCTAGGCAATAATCTTTCAGTCCAGACATGACAGTGAGAACTGCACAGATTTGAATCCCTAAAGAGAGAAATTCTTGTATTCTTAAAGGGAAAATTGTTTTGAGCCCCTTCTAATGGTCCTAAATTATTGAAAGTATCCCCAGATTTAGACTGCGATCGAGATCAGACACAGTATGAGCAATGAGATCAGTATGACTGTCTCCAGATCATTCCGTCCTCTTGGGTATAATGACGGAAAATTCTATCATCAAAAAACTCTGTCAATTAATATCTGACATTCATTGCTTGGTAAAATACTGCTATTAAACTATTTAAACACACATAGGCTGTATATTGTTTCTATTAGCAATAAAGGGCAAAGGCTGGTTCCTTGTCCCCTTCTAATTATGATCATGCAGTGCAGTATATTCAGAGGTGACTCCAGACAATTTCTATGCGGTGCTGTTTGTGCTTGCAGTATAAGTGGGGGCACTAAGTCCCCGACCCTGAATAATAAATGGAAACATAACATAATTAGAAATGCTTAGTCAGAAATTGAAAGATGCAATGTTGTATAAAAATCATTTATAGTATAAAATGAACACAGACTATAGCCCCTTTTAAGCACATTAAAGTGTAGAGTACAGTGGCCAGAAGTATGTAACAGTGTCCCTTACATAGCTGGTCAGCAAATGCAAAAAATCAGTTCTTTATTTGGTGTCAGCGGACATAAAAATAGAACATACTTTCCAACATTTAAAAAATTATCAGCAACACTTTGAAGGGGTTCAGAAGAAAAATGCACCGCCTGTCGCTGGCTTCTGGGAGTAGCCATAAAGTGGGTGTAATCAATTTTATTTGGTGTTGCTTCACAGTGTATGGCTTTTAGTGTGCAGCTTTTGCCCCTTTGCTTTGCTATGGTTTAACCTGTTGCCGTCCGCCCGTAGTAAAAAAAACGGACGGACGGCACTGCAACATCTGCGGGTTGCCGTCTCCAGACGGCAATTTTTTTCTATAGGTCCTGGGGGTACAGTGAACAGATTGTGGGAGTAAAATAACCCTTATTGTTGGTGCCAGTGGTGGCAATAATAGATATATTGTTAGAAACCTTCCTCAATAGGGGTGGAGAACTCCAGGCTGCTAAGGTTTCTCACTTCTTGCTGAAAGAGAACTTCTGTAGAAAACCTTGTGGATGTATCGGAAATGCAGTATGCGAATTGAAGATGCATTTACCATGGGATTCACTATCAGTCCCATGGAAAATGCATAGAATGCATTTGGAATACAGAGCTACACATATAAAAATGTCAATGATTAGCTTTCTCTACTCTTGTGTTGATGGTTAGTGTGCACCATTTATTTAATTAGAGATTATGTCTTATTAATGTATTGGGGCTTCCAGACCAGAAGGTCCCCTGTGCAGTTGCTCAGACAATGTGACATTTTTATATCTGGCTATGCAGCTATAATTGCTATGCACATGATGCTGCTGTAGGCTAAATAGTATTCATTTTGTCAAGTGAGCACACAATCTTAAAGGGGTCTTTCACATAATAGTTTTTGTCTCAGTCTTGCTTTCTTTAAAGTATAGATTTGGGATTTCCCAATGTTTGCAGTATTAAGTAGTGGAAGAAGCAGTACCTTTACTGGGATCTCTGCATAAAATAGTATAGAGTAACTCTTTACTTTTGTAGTACATGATTGCAGGACAAGAGCATAAATAAAATCCATTGGAAAATAAGGATACATTTTAGTAAAGTCAACAAAGGCGGTGGCTTAGGGCAGCAGGATTTCCTGGGGAAGCACACAGCCACCCACCCACACACACATCATATTGATGGCGTTCAGTATCACATTCCCAGGTATAATAAAAGATTCCAGACTACCACCTGCCAATGCCATCAAAACTGATTTATCGTTGCTGTCCCTGTGCAGTTTTGCATTTTTGTTGCTGGAATATTCTACATTCTGTGACAGCATCAGCTCTGCAAGACCCAAATTGCTAGCAGATAGTACATCTAGGACCAACAACTAGAAGGTTATGACAAACCGAAAACTGACACAGAGTGGGCTTAGTGGGTATGACATCTGATCTTGTTAATGTGGTACTAAGGCTAGCTGGTCGGGTAGGGTAAGATGGGGGCGGCATTAGACAGGTGGCCAAGGGGGGCAGGAAATATAAAAGCTGTCCTGTCTGCTTATTGTCTAGTACAGTACTCATACAGATTGTGTAACCAGTTCCACTACTGAGATTTTACTTCTGATTTATGTCATCTATTTATTAAAAGTTGCAGTACTCCTTCCTGTTGAATTTGAGCTGTTCCTGGAAGCTGGCAACCCATGCATAATTGTTTGACAGTAAGCTAGACATTTCTAAATGTTTTTCCAACTACAGACACATCTAACCGGTGACTCAATGCTCTTTTCACCTTAATGACCTGAATAACTGCCTCATGAAGTGTTGGTTGCATTAAATTTTGTCGTTATTTAGGGTTGGTATTTGTGTTACTACTACTAATACTAATAATAATACTAATAGCAACATTATAAAAACTGTTCAGTAATAAAATAACACTTGCATTTGTTATTGGTTGGGGGTTGGTATGTTACCTCTGCCAGTCACTGCCATTTTTCCTACATTCTTTTTTATGAAGAACAAAGGAAACCCAAAACTGGCAGCTGCTCTTCTTTACTGTTATTCATGGAGTAGTCAAGGGGTGAAGTAATGACTCCCTTGTTCTGCTAGAATCAGAATATGGGCAGAATAGTATCTGGGAAGATGGTATAAACATTGTTGGAATTATTCTTTGCATTGTTACATTATTGAACGATTCCTTTGTGTGTTTAGACTAATGTGCTATTGTTATTCATTATACAGAATAAGAAGTTACTGTTTGAGAAGATTAAGGGAACACCCCAGAGAAAGAAGCGGGTAACACTGTTTATATTTCCTTCTGCAACTGAGCAAATGGGCATAAATGGGCTGTTTAATGTAGGCATGTTTCTTTAACTAATCTAAGCAATTATTTATTTAATCTGCTTCAGTCATAGATAGTTACTGCATCCTAAAGAGGAAAATTTGTTAAAAATTCACAGCTTTAGTAAAAGTATGCGCATTTGGGACAGAGTAGGGAAGGATTAGAACCCCTGTCAAATTGTTATTGGTTTCTATGTTCCAGTTGGGTAGATTCAGCTTCTCTATTGGTACCAGTGATCATTATTACTGGCACAGAAAGGTGTGGGGAACCAAAATGTTACTGTTGTCACCAGAACAAGAGTTGATTGTAAATCTTCCAATGAGGTCACCTGTATCTGTGGCAACTATTTAAGAGGGGTATTCCCCTCAGTTTACGAGGATTTCCTCTTACTTTATGTTGCATCTCTGGGACAGGAAGTGAAGGGAAATCACCGCAATGGGACATAGACAGGAAAAATAACCTGAATGGGGTTTTAACGTTTCCCCTACTCTATTCAGAACCCCAACATTTTTGACTGATACACTTTAAAGTGATATTAAACCTTCAATTTGTTTTTTTTTTCTTTAAACTTTTTTTCTTCCCTAGTTCTCTAGTTGTCCCCCAAACCGCTAGCCGCCCCACCCCTGTGTGCAGGTGTCTCCATTAGCTAGCTGGCTGGCGGCTGCTGAAGAGACACCTGTGCATGCGCATTCATGGCTGTGCCCACACCGAGCTGTGTGTCCGTAGACACATGGAGCGGAGGGGCATGGAGCAAGCCATGCCCCTCCTCTCCTCCCAACAGATTGACTGACAGCAGAAGGAGCCTATCCCTCCCCCCACAACCTGGACGTTCAGGGAACAGAGGACATCTGTCCCGATCCGGCGGAGGAGACAAGTGACCATAGGTCACTTTACCTTAAGGCCTCATTCACACTGCGCTAAGTCGGGGCGTGCACGCCCGTATCGGGGTTATACGGGCCCGGTTGCCCGAGCTAAGATGCAGACAGGATCAATCCGAATGGCACGAATGTGCAGTTCGGGTGTGCACATGGCTGCATCCTCCTAAAGGGAAGAACAGGCTGCTACACACAGCACCTGTCCCTCCTGGGAACGGCCCAATACGGGCGTGCACGCCACACAGATGTGTACACCCCGACTTAGCGCAGTGTGAATGAAGCCTTATGCAGAGAATGCATTAAGGTAAAAATCGGCATGCATTTAGTACTGCTTTAAGTATAAATAGTTTACTACCCTTTCATTAACATGGTATTAACAGATCACTGATTCAATGTGATGTAGTGTAAAGCTGGCCATACACTTTATGAGAAATAAGCTTCATTTCCCCCATCCCCTGCCAGGCTATTGTATTCTGACAGCCAGCATCCACAGCTTACAGAATACCTGATTGGCTGCAGTCACTGTTCAGCTGACAATTTTTGTCCTGGCTCCTCAGACAAAAGTAAATTACAATTTGAGCAGTGTATGGCCAGCTTAGACTATCCTATCCTTGCATGTAATACAGTCCCAATATATATTAACCTTACCAGGGCAGAAATGCAGAGCAAATGACAGATTTATCTGTTTGTTAGCACTTAGTGAATAATCTAATTGGCTAAGTACGCTAGGAATTCAACAGTGACATAATAGAGTTATTATTGCATGCCATTCTCGCACAAACCAATCTCTTTTCTTAGTTAGGCTCCCAAAGCCTTTCTGTAAAAATCTCCCACCGATTCTGTTTTTTTTTCCAAACATCCCAGCTTTAATAAACTTGTGCCCGAGCCATTACACAGATAATTGCAAGAAAAGATTGAAATTAATATTCATTCGAGGATCCTAATCACAGCTGACTTTCTTTGTTATGTATTGTTCTATAGGAACTATTTTGACTTTACATTATATAAAAAAAACGATAAAAATTGGAAATGCGCCAATATACAGTACATCTACCCCGTGTTATAGGTAATTGTACACATTAATCATCGAGTGCACATCACATGTATGTTACTTCAAGGGACAACGTGATGAGTACCCAAGACTTTTCTTCTTCTTCAGCACTAATTACTATAACAATTAATCATATACTTCATTTTACATTGATCTACTGTATTAGCACTGGTATGCTAGTCCAGATAAACATCTACATTTACCAAGAATGTTCTACCATACAAGGGATTCCTGGTCATGTGCTGCTTTGTGATTCACAAGTGTACAGCACTGGATTTTTGCATTCACTTACTATACAAACACTAAGCACAGACTTTTTTTTCACAATGCCAGCTACACAAGCAGTAAATACTGTCAGTAATAATATAGTGCTGTTAGTAATAATATAGTGCTGTTAGTAATAATACAGTATAGTGCTGTCAGTAATAATATAATATAGTGCAGTCAGTAATAATATAATATAGTGCTGTTAGTAATAATATAGTGCTGTTGGTAATAATATAATATAGTGCTTACAGTAATAATATAGGGCGGTTATTAATAATACAGTATAGTGCTGTCAATAATAATATAATATAGTGCTGTTAGTAATAATATAGTGCTGTCAGTAATAATATAGTGCTGTCAGTAATAATATAATATAGTGCAGTCAGTAATAATATAATATAGTGCTGTTAGTAATAATATAGTGCTGTTAGTAATAATATAATATAGTGCTGTTAGTAATAATATAGTGTTGTCAGTAATAATATAGTGCTGTTAGTAATAATACAGTATAGTGCTGTCAGTAATAATATAATATAGTGCAGTCAGTAATAATATAATATAGTGCTGTCAGTAATAATATAGTGCTGTCAGTAATAATATAATATAGTACTGTTAGTAACAATACAGTATAGTGATGTTAGTAACAATACAGTATAGTGATGTTAGTAATAATACAGTATAGTGATGTTAGTAATAATACAGTATAGTGATGTTATATGCAGAGCAGGACAAATCTCATGAGAAGACTCTCCAGTCCATTGCAAGAGCATCTTCTTGTGATATTTTAGCTGCTCACGCTGGTAGGAGTGTGACACTTCCTCGCCTCGGAGGTGAGGTAGCTATAAATATAACTTATTTCTTTATAGGTATATTTTGAACTTACTGCCACCAGGTGATTTTACAGTAAGAGGGGCCAGACAGTATATGTGTCCCTTGCATTTTACCGCAAGGTCCAATTTTTTTAGGTCTCATCATTACAGGAAGCGCTGTACTGTCAGAACTCTCTGTGATCTTCTCATTGATTCTGCTGTCCACACCCCCTACGAAATGGCTACTATTGAGACGCATAAAGATTTTCCAGTATGCTGGTGTTTACCATGATTCATTTACACTTCAAAACATTTCCTAAATTTTTTTAGTTAATGTCTACATAGCAATGCTCAGATCTGTCCCATCACTTTTTTTTTTACTGGGCTGCATGTGGCCTCCCTAAAAATACTCCCTGTTACTGAAACTTCTCTGAGGATTCGTGGACATTTGTTATCTTATATATATTTACATACAATATTATCATGTGTCTAATATCTACATAGCCTAAACTGTTTTCCATTCTCCCTCTCACCACCCACTGTTCCCACTTCCAGATGGTGAATCCATACCTGCAGGGACAGAGACTGGACAATGTTGTAGCCAAGAAGTCTGTTCCACATTTCTCTGGTGAAGAAGAGGAATAAGCAGAACCAAATGAGTGAGCCGCCTTTGCTGTGATCCAGCGTGGCGTCCTATCTACTGCTCCAGAGCCCCACTGACTGGCAGCATGTTTATTATTTATAGACCTGTGAATGGGAAACAGCTGGATTTATAACATTATGTTGTCATAGATAATAAAAAATATAGACTTCTGCTTTCTGTTAAATTAGGGGAACGGTATCTTTTCTTGTGCTTTTTTTTCTGTGTGTCCTCAAGAGGAAGTTTAACCAATTGGTTACTGCCAAACACTGTCAGTGTTAAGACATAGAGAAAAAGTCAGTTCTCCTTTCCTTGAGTGAACCTGTGCCTGCCTGTAGAGATGGCTCACTACTGTCTAGAATCAGCATTGTATATTAGAAATAAGTGCAATAAAGTCTTCACTTCATATGTGGCTCCTTGCAATGTCTGTTAAAATCAGAATAATCTCAAATGACTGTGAGCAGCTTAAGTTTAGAATTGACTGCCAAGTCCAGTCCTTAAAGTGAAACTAAACTCAAAAAGTGAAAATTTGCTATGCTATGAAGAACATTTAGATACGTTATCTGTCTTAAGCTGCCCATACACCTTACGAATATCGGCCGATTTTCGTATGTGATCATGTTTTCGTCCGATATTCGTAAGGTTGATGTGTACAAGCGCAAATACTGTACAACCGATCGACTTCTGACTAACCAGCAGGTTAGAAAAGTTCGGTTGATGGTACGATTTTCGCAAGGTTGGTGAGGTTTCCGTACGCCAAGATTCGTTTGATCTACACTGAACATGCGCAGACGAAAATACGTGCGGTCGATTACCGAAATTCATCCAGGTGTTTTTTTAAATTACTGCTGATTCAACCTTGCGATAATCGGGGCAGAATGGGGCCGCCGTACGAAAATCGTACGACGGTTCGATCATCGGACGAAAAGTCCGATGATCGCAAGGTGTATGGGCAGCTTTAGCAGTGGCCTGGAAATGTACCTTTTGTCTTGACTTAGTAGATAGTAGAGCATTTCCTGGTATGTGAGGGTGCTTAAGTACTCCTTTGCCTACAGCCTCACAGCTAAATATCTGCATAGTGAGATCTAAGGCACTGATGTCTCTGACTGTTAATCTCATGACATTTGGAGTAAAATTTGGTGATGTGACTGTAATGTCTTCCTTATATTGTAAAGCCCTGTGCAAACTATTGGCGCTATATAAATCCTGTATAATAATAATAATAATGCCACTCACTATTGTGCTGCTGGCTGTACTCCTTTTGGGAGGCTCTGACATGGGGAAGCAAAGCCCTGTCTCTACCAACATTCCCCCTCCCCACAGAGATATAGAGCAGAACAAGGCATGGCAAGTCAATATGTGAGAAAAGATCAGCAGCAGAGAGATCACAGGCTATAATAGTGACTAGACCTTTGTCCACTGGCTGTTTTTTGGGGGGGCATAGCTTCCAGAGTGTTCAGTTCCTCATTAAGCTATCAACAAATGTGTTGATTATTAGCCACCTAATTGGGCAGAGCATTGAGCGCAAACAACTCCAAAGCCTGTTTGTGATCCAAATGATAATTCGATGGTATACAAAATTAGCCACATCATAATTAGACCATATGTACACTGAGTGGCCAGATTATTATGACCACCCCATCCGTACTTCGTTGGGCCACCTTTTGCCTTCAATACTGCGGCGATTCTTCTTGGCATTGACTCCACGAGATGTTGAAAGGTGATGCGAGGAATCCAACAGCATGCCTGATGAATAGCACTGTCCAGTTCAGTGAGATTTGATGGTTGTGGAACCAGCTGCCTGATGGCTCTTTCAACTTCGTCCCACAAATGCTCAATTGGATTGAGATCTGGTGACTGTGGGGGCCACCTAAGCAAGGTAAAGTCTCCCTCATGTTTTTGAAACCACTCCTGCACAGTACGAGCACCGTGGCATGTGCCATTGTCATGTTGGAAGAAGCCATCTCTATTGGGATACGCCATCAGTATGATAGGATGAACTTGATCAGCAACGATACTTTGGTATGTTGTGCTATTCAGACGTTGTTTCACACAAATTAAAGGGCCCAAATCATGCCCCAAACCATAACACTGCCCCCACCAGCTTGAAGGGTTGTACTCATGCATGTGGGGTGCATGCTTTCATGCTGTTTCCGCCAAATTCTCACTCTGCCATCTGCATGATGCAACTAGAAACGTGATTCATCGGACCACATTACTTTTTTCCAATGCTCGACTGTCCAATCCTTGTGTTCCTGTGCGAATTGGAGACGTTTTATCTTGTTAACTGCAGACAGCAAAGGTGTTCGAACAGGCCTTCGGCTTCCATATCCCATACGATGCAGTGTACAGCGAACAGTGCGTTCAGAGATCATTTGAGAGGATCCCTGATTAAGATCTGCAGTAATTTGATGCACTGTTGTCCTTCTGTTGTCTTGTACCAGTCTTGCCACTCTCTGTTCTGCCCTAACATTGACTAGTCGCTGACGGCCACAATTCGCACGTTCAGACCCAGATTTTCGGCTGACAGTCCAGTCTTTAAACACTTTAACAACAGCTGCTCTTGAACATTTAACGAATTCTGCTGTTTTGCCGATACTCGCTCCATGGCTCCGCGCCAACAATAATCCCACATTCAAAGGCTGATAAAATCGCGTTGTTTACCCGTATCTTCGGAAAAAAATCACTTCTACTGTCGTGGTAAACAACCTGCTTCCCTATTTATAATGGTCTGGCCCTCTAGCAACTTCAGCGCGAAATTATAGCTAATTTGCCTACAAATGTCAGGTGGTCATAATAATCTGGCCACTCAGTGTAGAGTATAGTCACACAATAACTGCCTCAATTTGTACATGCTGAGGACCATACCTAACAAGTTTCTCAGATGGGAATGAAAGACACCAGTTAGCACAGAATGTGAGCAAAAGACATACTCATGCCACACCCCTGATCATGTGGACCATTACGAATTAAAGGACAACAATTATATTAGCATTTTCAAATAATCAATGCAATAATGTGAAGGATGGTTGAAATCCTTAGTGCAGTATAAACAACTTTTGCAGTTAAATGGTAAATGTGTTTATACAGATCTTTACACCAGAGCTAGAAAAGGACATTTGAGGAGGGATGGTGATAGAGGGATTGGATTCCAAAAGATAGGCAGGGACAGTTAGGAACTCTGTTTCTTCAAGAAAATCTTTTTGCATGCCAAGCTCTCCAGGGCCATCAAAATATTGCTACGGGGCACACATTTCAGTACACAGCCACAAAGTTTCACCATTGGAATCATGTGTCGTAAAGGATATAATAAAGAAATTAAGCATCCAAGCATTCTTGATCAACGAATCAATCAGTTGGAAGGTTGGATGGACTTTCCCATCTGATATTGATTGTGCTATACATATGCCAGGCTATAATAGTGACTAGACCTTTGTCCACTCCATAAACAAAAAAAATCATGTTTACTCAATAATATTGCACAACTCTCTTATATAAGAAACATTGCTCAGCGGACAGATAATGCATTCATGGACAGCCAACATCTGAAGTCTGTAGGAACCTGTGGGGCTTGTGTACAAGGATATTTGTTCTCATCAGTACTGAATATAATTGAATATTACTGAACTACAGATAACTGGATGGAAATGCAAAAGCAGCTTGATGCAGCTTAAAGGGAGGTCATAACGAGGTTAGAAAGAGGTCAGAAGGACTAATGAAGGGACCCAGAAAAACCTCAAATCCAATCTGATCACACCAGAAAGCATGCTGCTTTTGCCTATCTTCATAAGCCTCAACAAATATGTAGTTCAGTATCCAACTCCCCCATATAATTATATGTCTAGCCCAGCTCCACTACTCCATTTAAGGTCAATATTACACATGAGATCTGTCCGCTGCCAGTTTCTTGCCAGCAGCAGGATTGCTATGGAGGGCCATAGCCTGGATGTCAGCACTCACCTGGTTGCATCTGTCGCTTCCTCATCGACTGAATGAGCAAAATGTTGCTCTCTTGCTGGTTACTTACATTCTGCAGTGTTTCCAACTGATCAAACCAGCAAAGGAGTGACACATAGAAACAGGTGAGTGTTCTCGACATTGACATTTACTGACAATATAGCTTGAAAGCGCCAAATTATTGCATTGAATTGTAGAAAATTAGCTTTTGTTATTCATGAGTCACATATATCAGCTGTGATATGCAGAGCAACATAAGTTGCATAAAATTCAATCTTTTCCACTGCCAAAAAATACTGTAAAAATATTTTAGTGGAGCACTTTTTGATTCTTATAGGCTACTTTCCATAACCTTAGTGGTTAGACTACCACTAGAAGAGGAACTCAACTCTGCAGAAGACAAGTCAACAGTATTGCCTGTGGTCTGCCTGCAGTTGATATTTCCCCCATTACTGACTTACCATGCCTTGGTAGGGGCAGGGGCAAAAACATACCTTAGACCTCTCTAATGTCTATAATTTCAGTACTGTATAGACTAAAGAACACATTTTAAAACATATCTTATAAATCAATTTGTAGGTCTACTAGAGGGTATATGGTGCAAGCTTTGTACATTGATAAGTTAAACAATAATATGACCCATAACACATAGACACACACATATTGTATTATTATTTCCAAATGTTTTTATCAACTGTTTAATAAAAGACATAGTATGTTTAGGCTTTGGAGTCCTTACATTCACATGCATTTCAAAAAAATTAAGACTAAATTGAAGTCAAGAATTTTCCAAAACAATTAGCTAGATCCTAAAGTTAATTTTGTGTTCTGAATTAACCAGCCAGACTTAATACAAAAATAAACATGAAGTACAACCAAGATTAACTAAGTATGATGTAAGCAAAGAGACTTCATGGACAATGAGCCTGGCTGTAATTATAATCTTTTTTTCTAATTAGATACTCAAGTAAATATTTATAATTTGGCTATTTCTTTACTAATAAATGAAACTTATATAACCTGTGAAAAATGAGGTAGTTACTTTTATTTAAATGTGTCTAATTTACCAAAACGTTCTACAATGTTTTAAGGAGTGTATTCATAGGCGTCGCTACAGGGGGGCTACAACGAATCGTTGAGCGCCCCTCCCCCTGCCACCACACCTAGAGGAAGAAGGCATGAGGACAGAGCACATCAGAACTGTAAGTACCTTTTCTATCTGCGATGCACCCCTGCGTTACATTCACCCCTGACTAGCGCACCTTGCGTTACATTCACCCCTGACCAGCGCCCCCTGCGTTACATTCACTCCTGACCAGCGCCCCCTGCGTTACAAGCACCCCTGACCAGCGCACCCTGAGTTCACTCACCCCTGACCGCTGCACTCTGCGTTACACGCACCCCTGACCGCCGCATTCTGCGTTAAAAGCACCCCTGACCGCCGCACTCTACGTT